AATGCGCAGACATAAGGGTGTGCGGTGAGGAGGAGGTTGCTGGTGAGAGCTGTGAAGCGTATCTGTCCAAAGCGATGCTCTGTTCAAGCAGCGCTCCAGGCGACTGGCTGTCAGAGCGCTGATTGGATCAGTCAGAAAAATAAGCCAATAAGTTTCAGTTCACTCTTTTACAGTCACATAATTTTACAGCAGAATATACTAAAGTGTATCCATGTCTTGTGAAGGTGAAGAATGATGGAGTGTGCATGTATGGGGCACGGTGCGGCCAGGGGCGTCATCTGACCCAGTACTATACAGGGGCACAATAGGGCACCAAATAAAATGCAAGCGCGCAAAGCACGTAAGCAAAAAAATTTTGGGCAATTATTTATTTAAAAAAAAACATGGGCCCAGATAATTAAGGCAAGCACATGAGCAAATATTTTATAGCACTTATTTATTATTATAAAGCGTCATGGTTTTTGGTATAGACATATACTAAGTTATCATACCAGTATATTTACATGAATGCCAATAACCAAAAGGACATTATAAAAACAAAACATCATTTTATGAACAACTTTACATTTTGTACATAAATCTTGACCTTCTGAGGCTTTGTGAAGGTAGATTTGTATTTTGCATGGTCCAATATTATTTCACAAACCTAAAGAAATAATATACCAGTTTAATAATGCGGAATCTATTGGTCAGCATTATATTTTTTAAATATATAAAAACTATTTATTTCTTGAGATGGGTGCAGCCCACACCGTGCTGGTCGGTTATCTATGGCGGGTGCAGAGGGTGGGGGGGTTTGTTAAATAAGCATCTCCCTGAAATGATTTTTTTTTTTAACTTGGGATGTCTGAAACATGCGCAAAATATTCAGCCTGGAATTTTATTATGCCTGCATTTATTGAAACAATTTTCTAAAATGGGGGGGAAAAAGCAAAGTCAGCGTGCAGATGGTTGTTGACCATTGTAGAAATGCTCCCACTCCAGTGAAATGTCTATCTGATACCCAGAGAAACATTGGAAATCTCAGAGCAACACATCTGGGAGACAGGGGATATTTTTAAGCAATAAAGAGCTAAAAAACAGTAAGCTCTATTTTTTTTCCCCATTTTGCAACAACCAACTTACATCCTGCAGCTGTACTGTCATTGGTACTGTCCCACTTAGTGTGTGTGTGGGGGAATACCTGGTCAGACTGGTAACCGAAGCACCATGAATGAGGTCCAGAGTTCTTTGTGGGGATGGGAGAAAAGTAACAAAAGAATAACTGTCCCTCTCTGCAGCCCTCAGAAGCCATCCCCCTTGGATAGGCACATTACATCCTGTTGTACTGTAGTGTGTCAAAAAGCACCTGAAAGACTCTTCAACCTCAATGCAGCAGTGGGAGGGGAGGCCACAATACAGGAAATATATGCACGCAACAGCTGTGATGGAAAATTGTATCTGAGTCATAAGGTCAGAATTAGGTTTTTATTATGGTTAGAATAAAATGTGCAAAACACCTGTATACTTAAACTTAACATAAACTCATTTACAGGTAATTAAGTCAACTTCAGAGTTCTTTCACATTTCATAATACTTCTTTTTAACTTTATCAATCAAAATCTTTATTGTCATTATGAAGACATAACACTATATGAGATTAATGGTCTGTTTGATTGTCAGCAGGGCTGTTTGTGTGTATCTGAGAAGGGGTGGGTGGGGATGTTTGTGTGTGAGGGTAAGAGTATATATATGTTCTTGGGTGAGAGTGCATGTAGGAGAGTTCTCCTTCTGTAGGTGATGATGTGAGTTTGATTACTGGTCGGGCAACTGATCTGACAGCTCTGGGAAAAGCTGTTTTTGTTTTGTTGGGTTTTTTTTTTTTTTATTCTTCCTTTTTTTCTTTTTTTTTTTGTTCTAGACGTGATGCTGCTGAACCATTTTCCTTGACGGAAGTAGGGCAAACTGTGCATATCACAGATGAGTGGGATCTGTGCCAATGCGTCAGGCTCTTCTCTGGACTTGTCCAGATCTAGATGGCATCCCACAATCCCTTGTGTGTCCTGGTAAGCATGATGCTGCCACTATCATGTTTCATAATAGGGATGGTGTGCTCATTTGTGCATTTAGTTTAACACCAGCTACTATTAAAATAACTTCTGAAGGCAATTGGCAGCACAGATTTTCAGTTGAGTGTGTCAGAGTAAAGAGAGAGGAGTCTTTTAAAAAATGATAATTAATTAATTATTATTATTTAAAAAAGTAATAATTTAACAAGCCTTTTGCTCTTTACACCACTCCTATCTACTTTTTGTTTGAAATGTTTGGGACTTCCCTATAAATACATAATACCACCCATGGAAACTGTGTAATACACCAACATTTTCCAAATGCAAAGGAGTTAAATATTTTAAAGATGCTAAAGTAACTTTTAAATTACAGCATTTTACAGATATATTTGTGTTATATTTTATTTGTTTAAGGGATTTGTCGTTATTTTTGTTCTGCAGCAATTTGACATTGACCATAAAAAATGTGAGAAAAAAAATGTGGGGCCTGTCAGGCATTAGAACTGTACACCCAGATATTCTAAATCAATTATTGTTTATCCCCTCTATATTAATTCATAAAAAATTTATTTCTTCATTCCAAGCATAGTTTTGTTATAGATAGTTCAGAATGAAATAGGCTTAATCCCAGATATTTTCTTCTACCATAGCATTCCTGTGCATGAAGCGCATATTAACCATCTATTTCAAAATGTTAAAATAAAGTTGCTCTTTTTTAAGTGTATGCAGACGAATCTTCATAGTTTGAAGCGTATGCCAACATTAACAGTTAAATGCTTCACAGTGTTTGTGTTAGAGCACTGGTTGCTAACCTTCTCTGAGTGTTCCAGACCCTTTGGCCAAACTTGGCCCCCATCTTCAATCTGTATTAAAACACTGCAAGTGTTGGTTGGTGGCTGGTGTGTTTAACAGGAAGAGGGCTCCCTAATCAAATTCTGCTTTAGGGCTCATACATAACTGGACCAGATCTTGAGCATAGTGCATGAGCCAAAGTCAGGTCTAAAAAGCTACACCCAGATAATTGATCAACAAAGGAAAACCCTGATTAATACATGCTATAGACATGTAGTGACATTCACATTTCCTTACAAACGTCTGGTGCTGGTTCGTGTTGTGTTATTCTGGTTCAAGTGTCATCTCAGCCTTCTTTAAGGAATGAGGGTGGCTCTGTTCTCTTCTTTGTTTTTATCTGTTAGGAGAGGTTGTGCCTCACTCTATGCTCAAAACTGCAGCCCAAAAACAAACAAGCTAATTGGTTATGAGAGTGAGCTTAAGAATCAAGTACATATAACTAAGACAATAAATTATATAGTTAGTTTTTAAAACTAAATAGAAGAGAACTAAAACATTGCACTTTTAGATTTTTTTTTCCAGACTAAAACCTGATCAACAGCATCCTATTTTTGGCAGTGATAAGATGGCCTTGCTTTTTTTGTTGCTGGTTCAGAAACTTGATAGACTGGTTTAGCCACCCCATTAGCAAAAAAATGTGGAAAAGCAAACACTTACTGGTTTGCTCCGCCCCTCACTCAAACTTTGTCACAATGTGTTTAAAGGCAGAAAGCTTCATGCACAGCAGGACTGTATGAAAAGGAATGGAGGCCAGAACTCCAGTTACAAAGGAAAGTTTATAATACTGAGTACTGTAGTAAATTAAGACGTTATATTTTGTTTGTTTTTTATTTCCAACACATGACAAGTAATCATGGATTGTTTATGGTACATTGAGTCAAAGACACAAATTTAGGCAACACGGTGTGACTGAATATAATAACGAATTTAAAAGAATTTAGCAAACCATCAGGTTCTAATGATTTTGGAAAAATAGGTTATTAGACATTAGGTGTCAATGATAGTCAATGATATTAGACTGTCAAAAATCAAACATTAGATCTCACTACAATCTGTATCTCAACTAACTTCTGGAATATAAACAATTAATTATTGGGTGTAATACTAATTACTTCAGTGGAGGAAAAAGAATGAATCAAAAGCACCGGGACTTCTTGAATTCTACGTCTGCTTGTGTAGTTTTTTTTTTTTATTATTATTATTTTAATTTAATTTTTTGGTTTGTTTTATATGATTGAGAGAAAATATTTTCTTACTTGTCTTAATCTAAAACCTAATTTTATATAAGGTTTCATATACAAAAAAAATATGGAATGTGAGACAATATTTCCATTAATCTATAAATCCATTTATAGTGAATTTTGATGCCATAAAATGATTTAAAAATATATGTTGAGGTAGTTTATATATATATATATATATATATATATATATATATATATATATATATATATATATATATATATATATATATATATATATATATATATATATAAATTATTAAATTTAGCCATAAATATTACACATACAAAAAAAATCTAAGTAAAGCCAAATAGGCACCCCTAAACACTTTATTTTGTATCTGTATTGATACTAAACAGGATAAGTGAGTAATTATGCTATTTTGAACTTTTCTGAGCCAGCTTTATATATTATTGAAATATTTACTCATTTACTAACTTAAATTACCACCAGAAACCCTCTGTGTAAGCTGTAAACCAAATCAGTTAGAGATCAGCTAAACTAATCTTCTAGGCTGCTTTTTGGCTGTTGTTATCATAATGAAAATTGCTGTCAGTAATGGACGTTCAGTCTCAAACAATGTTTTGTTCCTAAAATGCTCTTTTTGTGCTTTGACAGAAAGTTCAGGCAGATGAAACTACATGGTAGTACTGCTCAACCTTCCATGACTGATTTTGACAGCTAACAGTGCAGCACAACCCTTCTATCATTGAACCAATCAGAACAACGAAGGGGCAGGGCTTGCCGCAGAATTAGCCAATCAGAAATGAGCACAGCAGTAGAATATGCAGACCATTTGTCTCGCTGTACAGTGTATCATGTTGGCCGTGGAGCAGTAGCGCGGTTAATTGGTGTTCCAACCAGGATATATTGCACCAAAAAAAAAAAAAAAAAAAACCCTCAGTTTTTGAAAATATTTTTAATTCATTTCAATTTTTTGCAGTTTGGGCTTTAAAGGACGTTGAGCAGCAGCTGTCGGGACGGCCGCTGTTTTGTTGATGTCATCCGCGACCTTCAATTCCTCAACAAGCTGAGGATAAACAAAGAGTCGCTTTGAGGGTTTTAGTGTTACCCTTTATTTTTGTCGCCTTTCCGCCTTTGCCAGTTGGCAGGATGAGAGTCCTGCTGCAGGGGCTCCTGCTGCTCGCTGCCTGCGCTCTCCCTGCAGGTGGCTTGGATTTCCAGCCTGGATCCAAAGCTGTCGGACAGCCGGTGTTCAGGAGGCGCTCCGCCGTGGAGCAGAGAGCCTCACACATCGTCAGGAGGTCCCTTCCGTCGTGGCTGGACGCATCGCAACATAGGAGAAGGAGAAGGAACGCCGAGCAAAGCGATTCCTGCAAACAACACCGAGGGTTTCAGAGCAAGTTAAATGACAACACCCACAGTGTAAGTTACCGTCCTGTTTCAGGTTGCAATCCGACAATTACAGAGAGGCATGATAGTGCGCAGGTGCTAAGATGTATGAATAGGCCTTATTTATTGCCCACGGTAGGTAAAAAAAAAAGAAAAAAAGTATTTTTTTATATTTATATTTAAATTAGACTTTGCAAACCACATAAGTGTATCTCCTAAATTGAGGTATAAGCAACCAGAAGCACTCATATGGCCTCCAAACCAGCAGCAGCCCCGTATAATGTCATGTTATATAGAGATTGAAAATGAATCTTTGCACATTGGTAATGAAAAGTGTGTTTCTTTAATTTTTTTATTTTATTTTTTTCAACAGTGTCCTGTCTTGCAATGTGGCAATAAGAATAATTGTCTTGATGCCATAAAGAGCCCAACAGATTTTACTTTCACAGGTGGAGCAGTAGGGCTATCGCCTTAGTGTTCTGCTTGATTTATGCATAAAAATAGCTTTATTATAATTGGGTAGGGAGTATTACAAATTATATGGACACTGGAAAGTAAGTAGAACAGGAAAGGAAAAAGGAGAAAAGATGAAAGAAAGAGGAGATAAAAGGGAGCCAATGATAAAACATCTTCAGTCTGCTTCATCACCTGCAAAGAGATGGAAAATTAAAAATAAAGGTGTGTTTCAAAAACTAATCCTTATTGAAATTGTAATTTCTGGGTTGCAGTCAGTAGACTTCTGTGCACTTGTGTTGCATGCCATGTCCTATTTTGGGCCTGGTCTGCTGGTATGGAAAAAAATGCAAATAAAAAATGAACTAAACTTTTTCAGCTCTGTAGGCTCCAATGCTCAGATCTCATGTGAAGATGTTGTGGTTTTATCGCCTTTGTACTCTGGTATTTCCTGTAACATTTTTATGCGCAGTGTAATAAAATCCTGTTAAACGACATTCAAAAGTTTTGATGTATCTAAAAAGTTTTCACTTGTGTCACTGGTATGCAACACATATCTGTTTTGCAGCATATAGCATTAATTTGGTTTCTCTACTGATTAGAGATCCAAACCGTCTGAATGCTGACAGGAAGTATGAGGCAGAGGAAATTCTTGTGACTGACGATGTGTTGGTTATTTTGTAATTAAAAGCTTTGCTTGTGCAGTCGTTAAAGCAGTTAGGAATCAGAAAGTCATGTAGGCCAACAGAACCCACATTGTTTGTTTTTTTTAAGTTTAAAGCCTCCATCAATGAAGACAAGCTCATCAAATGTCTGCAAATGCACCCTTTTCTCAAGTTAAATCTAAAAACAAAACTAAAAAAAGACTAAATAAGAATCCTGTGCTGCTTATTTGCCTAGCTCACTGATGCCATGTGATCAAGTTTGCATGATGTACTTTGTGTACTTGGCCCCAATAATCTCAGGCTGAGAGAGTTCCTCGAGGCTCAGCCTTCTCTTTCCGCAGAGGTTACCATGCAGGTCCCTCCGGCACTGGGCCTGCTTACTGCATGAACAGCTCGGAGCACAGTGTGTAATGGGCTGCTAATTGTTGTTTAAGAAATTAATCTTGAAGAGGCAGCAGGTCTATATTTGTCTGGGAAGGCAAAAGTATATTTTTTGTTCATTTTATTGTATTTTATTTAACCCTGTAAGTAAAATAAACTATAAAGGTAAATAAACATTAAGAAAATGACAAACTATGTAAAAAAAAATATGTATAGTTACATGTCTCAAAGTATAGATGTTGGTATTATTGTTTGCGAGGTAAATTAAAACACATTAATTGCGATGTAGTTTATACAAGTTAACTATAGACAAGTGCTGGTGGTTGCATGTGCTTTGTTTCATGTTCCTCCTATATTCAAACCTTTGTCTGAAAATATTCTTAACACTAGTCAAGTCCAAATTCAAAAATCAATGGGATTTTTTTTATTAAAACAACTATTTTCATTAATCTCAGACGGAACTATTCACAGAGTTGTATTATATTAAACTGAACTTCCAATTTTCACCATTGTTCTGCGCCAAGTAACATTTCCTCTGATCGCGGAGCAAATCCCGATGATGAGACATTTGTTAACCCCCCCCCCCCCCCCAGGGTTCCAAATAATATATATATATATATATATATATATATATATATATATATATATATATATATATATATATATATATTATTTTATTTTATTTTTGTTTTTTTTCTGCCCTAACCTTTAACTCTTCCATCACTATATAGAGTCAGCAGTATATAGTGGACTTTATAGTGAACTGAGCTAATTTACAGTTCGGACAGATGATTGCTGCTTTTTGCCACCCGTTGGTCACGTGACAGGCTCTCTGCACAGTACCTGTGCCATCTTTACTCTCTCTCACCCAAAACATCCCATGATGCTTTGCGAGGAGAGCTCTTGGATAGCATTCTGTGATATATCTGCTTGTCTAGTTTGTTATATGTCTGCTTGTAATTTTTCCCATTTTGAAGGACGGGCTCGATGTAGGGCTGCATCTAATGATTATTTTGAAAATTTATCAATCTGTAAATTGTTTTTTTTTTTATTTTTTATTAATCAATTAATAATGGAATAGCAAAAGGTTCCTTAAAGAAGAGATTTTATGAAATTAAACCAGTTGAAAATAAACTTTTTCACTTGAGGAGTTCTGGATAGAGCATATTTACAGAAGAAAAGTTTTTTTTAATCTTCAATACAAATTGTTTATATATATATATATATAGTGTATGTATATATAGTGTGTATATATATATATAATTTATTTTATTTATTTTTTTTGTTAGAATTTTGGTATAATGAATGCTCTAAGTGGGATGCTCTGTCAGCTAAAGGCAAGTTTTAGAGTCGCTTTACTCCAGCTAGCGATTAATCGATTTCCAAATCAGTTAATGATTATTTCAATAATCAATTGATCAGAATTCTCCTGACTGCATCATAAGACACAGTGCAGCATCCCCCTTGCACAAATGATTCATAAGCACACATACATTTTTTAATCATCATTAAATAAACCTGACAAATTCTTTCAGCCCTAGCCATATATATACCTTTGGCCATCCCCATATTATCATCTAAACTTATCCTGGAAAGTTAGCATAGTGTATGTCCTGCAACATATTGCCCAGTGCGACTTCTTTATGGATATTTTTTACTTTTTATAATGGATGTTGTGACTTATACTCTGGGTTTACTTATAGTCCGCTAAATACGGTACTTTTATTTATGTACTGTATTTACATGTTTACTAAAGGAGGTTGTCTAATTGTTTTTTCGTACTGTTTTAAATCATAAAGACAAGTGAATATTTATTCTGCTGCTATCACTGAGTTCGATAAAAGAGAAACCATTTTGGATTTTGAAGTTATACTTAATCACTATGTAATAGTCTATATTTACATTACTGCCACATCAATTTACCTCTTCAATCACTGTTTGTTGTATTTTCTTCAGTTCATGTTCAACGACCTGAGCGGCTCAGTGTCACTGGCTTGGGTTGGAGATGGAACAGGGGTAAGTGTTGTAAACATCGGGACAGGATTAGGTCAAAAATGGTTGGTTCTTTAGGTGTAAGATAATGTGCTGTGCAATCTTTACAGCTATTTTTGCAACATCAAAGTATGTTGTAAAATATTACTGCTAGATGATAGATGTCTCCTAATTTCCTAAAGTTTAACCTTTATTCTTTGCAGGTCATTTTGGCTTTGACTACCTTTCAGGTGCCTTTCTTCATGTTAAGATTCGGTCAATCCAAACTCTACCGTAGGTAGGTCTTGTAAGCTTACCTGTTGCAAAGTTTGCATGGTGAGCAGCAGATTTCATCTCTTGGTTCTTGCATTTTCTTCTCTGCTAGTGAGAACTACGGGAAGACGTTTGATGATGTGACCAACTTAATCAACAGCACCTTCATATTAACAGAGTTTGGTATAGCAATCGGCCCTGAGAATTCAGGCAAAGTACGCCAAATCCCTGTTTTTTTTAATTCATTTATACGGAGAGAACAGCTGCAATCGGCTCTAAACAGTAATATTTGGACCCTTGCTTTTAGGTGATCCTGACCGCTGAAGTCTCTGGAGGTGATGGGTATCGGCTTTTTGTTTCCATGGACTTTGGAAAAACCTTCACCCACCTGGACTTGCCTTTCAATCCCCTGATGCAGATCTCATACAATCCGGAGAACTCAAATGTGCTGGCAGTCCTCAGCACCAGGGTAAGACGTGCATACTGAAGACTTTGGTAGGAAAACCAAGTTAATTCGTTAATTATAATGCTGAAACCAAAAATGGTTTAAGTTTTAAACACAACTTTCTCTCTAAACAAAAAAACCCACAGAAAAGCAGTTTATTTTGAATTTTTTTTAGTTTGGACATTTTTTTTTTAACCAAAGGGAGATCTTTGTATTAGAGCAAAGGTAATTGAATTAAAATGAATATAAAACCAATTAGATTTAATGTACATTATTTATTAAAGGGAAATAACATATTGGTAAATATAGCAAAGAAGCGAATGGCTTGTTGCCAAAACCTGAAAATACCATAACGGTTCTAGCTAATAGTATTGATTTCTATTAATGAATTAATTTCCTTTCTTTTACACAACTAAGCCACACTTAATCTATTTTTGAATGGGTTTCAAAGCAGCATGGCCTTGATGTTAAATATCTGTCTAATTCAGAAGTAAATGATGTTGAAAGATTTAAAGAAATAGCCCTGTAATAACTCATAAAATGATTTGTTTAAACTGAACTTGTAACAGGATCTTTAAAAATTAAACTGCCCTTCCTTTGGTCACTAGCTTAAATCTCTGGTGAGAACTGCTTTCTGTTTTGCCAAACCTAATGTGATCAACACTTCAGGTTTTATTTATTGCAGAGACTAAGTACTGTAAATATTCTTTTTAAAATGTAAACGGTTCTGATCGTTATTAAAAGTAAAAGGAAAAAAATTTAAACATAACATTTTAAGAGCACAGTTTAAAAATAGTCTAGAAACCATTAGTAAGTGATCAGTTACTTCCTCATTCTCTAGAGAAATTTCGAGATTATATTAAGATCATTTGACTAATTTCTCTGAACCCATTTTCAAATTGGAAAAAATAGCATTTCTAGTGAAACATTTGAACCTTTAAATATCTAGTTAGAGCATTAAATCCCCCAAAGTTTTATATTGATTTATATTTTTCATATCTAATGTAGTTCTGTATTATATTTACCGTTTGAAAAGGTTATATATATTTATTTAAAGCTTATATATATTTGAGAAGACTTAAACCAAGAAGATGAATTGCCAGTTCAGTTTCTTTGCTTAGTGTTTATTTATTAACGTGACTTTAGAGATTATGAGCTGGTCCATAAACTAATGTGTGAACCTAAGTTAATATTTAATTCCGTTTTCAGCATGAACTTTGGCTTTCTGAAGATTTTGGACAGAGCTGGAAGAAGATTCACAACAACGTGTGCCTTTTTAAATGGTGAGACACAGTTGGTGTTAAACTAAACTGAAATCCCAAATAGTTTTATGTTACGAAGCTTTTAAAGTGCTGTTATCTGGTTTTAGGCCTCAGAATAGGAAGAAGGTTCAGTTCCTATTTTCACTGCTGTGGTCTAAGGCAATCTTTTTGCAACCCTAGGCCCAGTGTGGTTTCAAAATGTTGAATGTGTTTAAGTTATTCTCACATGATCGCTTTTGCTGATAGTTTAGGTGGAAAATAAGGATTTGAACTTTATAATGTTGAAGCCTTTTACTGTATTTTGAAATGGTTAAATAGTTTGTAGTAATTGCTAAACATGAAGGGAAATTGGATCACAAAGCTGTGACCAAGCCCTTTTAGAGCCCAATGTTGTTGTTTTTTTTAAACATATTTCCTGGTACTTATCTCTTTGTAAACTTTGAAGCATTTTAGTTTCGTTTCCAGGGTTGCTTTGTGGGTGCAAGGAGTGCTGAAATACAGGTGCAAAAAAAACCCCCAAAAAAACAAGTGAAGTATATGCGCGATTTGTGGGCCTTTCGCTAGTGATGGAAAGTTTTATCATTAGTGGGCAAGGTGCAGGAGTAAAGAAAGTACACTTTATGTCCATACTTTTTTACAAAAATGAATTTGAATTAGGTAGTTTGCTCCTGTGTTGATTCTCCAATCATTCTGTTACTGCTAGATCAAATCATATACTTCTTATGACCTTTATCTGTGACCTCATTACTAAATGAAGTCACCTTGAATGTAATTAAGATGGTGCTAACGCAAACTTACCAAGAACTAACTTGCCCTTAAGGTGACAAGGGAAGGAGAGCATTCATCAGAAAAGCAGCCAAGAGGCTAATGGTGGCCCTGCAGAAGCTGCAAAGGTCAGGCAGGCAAATCTAACAACATGACAACTATTAGCTGTGCCCTTCATAAACGTGTCCTTTATTGAGAGTGTTAAGTGGTCACATGATGGTTGGGGGAGTTTTGTTCTTGTAGGGTTGAATAGGAGAGTTGATAGGAAGATGAATGAAACTAAATAAAGGATCATTCAACAAGAAAACCTGTTAGAGGCTGGAAAAGAATCAGTGTGGGTCAGATGCTTGATTTCCAGCGGGAGAGTCCATTTTGCGCAGAAAAAAGGGGCAAATATTTTAATCTATAAAGGTATAGTGGAGGATTTTCATGAATTTTTAAAAAGACCCGGCCTCTCAACTATAGAAAAAAATGCACATGCACAACCCTGTACCTGCTCCCGAGGAGGAACACCTATTAAATGTGTGCAAGAGAATGCACAAGCCCATTTCTCCTCATGCATGCTCTTTTTAAATTTGCTGTCTGCATCGCTCATACAAGCTTACTTTCCAAAAGAAGATTTGCAACTTTTCCACTATGTCAGTAAGTGAAAATGGGGACGAGCACATAGGACGGCCTTACACAAACATGTCACCAGAATGATTGACAATTAGGAGGACCACTTACTTTGACGATCCACCCAGAAAAAGAAAGTCCTCCACTGTACCTTCAAGTGTAAAAATTTGAATGAAACCTTTTCCAGATATTTCAGTTTGTAGTTTCAGATGGAAAGTATGGGATGCAGAAGCAAACCAGTCATTTCATTAAAAACGGGATTGTGTTGAGATACGACATAAAATCCCAACAAAATGGACTGAAACAGGGATGCAAATGATCAAGTAATAAGTTCATCTTAATCCATTGACTAATGATTAATAAGTGATCATTTTCTTAAAGAACAGAGATTTAAAAAGATGAAGCAGATGCTATCTGTAATATTGTTCTCTTTTTTTAATGGGAAATCCTGTTGTCTATTTGAGGGTGAAACTTTGTGCTGTTTGCTGTTCTTCTAAACTGGTGGTTCCGGTAACTCTCGAACTAATGTTAAATGTTTGGCTCTATGAAGTGCGTTAACTTACAAAAGCCCTCACAATCAACCGTTTTTATTGATATGATGTATTTTTCTATCACGTTGCATGTCATTTTTGGTTGCTAAGAATGAATTACATTTTGCATCTTAGTCGGTAATGAACAGTTGAAAAATAGTCCTGCACCAGACTTCATTTGGAATTTTGATCTGAAATCTCCACCAGGATTTTTTTTCTTTCATCTATAAAGATCTGGGCCCACTAAAGGGGGAAACGCAGCTCCCTCGTTTGGATTGTGACCACATTACAACACTTAAAGAAGGTCCATCTACAGGCATTATCAATGAATTGGATTGAGGAAAATTTATTCTGATAAACTATTAATTGACAAGGAATAATAAGTGTATTATTTCCACATTGGTGTTTATGACTGATGCCACAAAATGTAGAAATGTTTTTAAGATTTGAACATATGTGCAACTAGATCATCTTAAGAAATTTATCTGAAATCAAGTCGAACATTTGTTTATCCTTAAGTTAATTACTCAATTAAAAAGCTGTGAATAACTCTCATCCTCATGTATTCTTAACCATCCTTTCTTTTATCTGCCTCTCTATGTAGGGGGAAGAAAAATAGCACCTTCTTTACTACCAACCAGAATGGATCTTGCGGTGAGTTTCTCTCAAAGTTAAATTTAAATCTACACAATCTGGATTCTGACAGTTCACCAATTCTTTTTTTATTTTTCATGCATGTAATTTGAACTCTTTAGACAGCAAAAGTTAATGTGAGAAAAGGCAATCAACCCTTATGGATTTGGTCTGAAAGCTGCATGTATATTTTTAATGCACATTTGTTCATGTCCTGCCTGAATGGTTTAGGTGATAGAGGAATGTTAGAGCTGAGGAGAACCACAGATTTGGGTAAAACCATCAAGACTGTTGCCACAAAGATCTTCTCTTTTGGTCTGGGTGGACGCTTCCTCTTCGCTTCAGTAATGACTGGAAAGGTTAGTATGAAATTGACTTTTTTTTAAGGCTGTTAGGTAATATACCAGTGTTGCATATGAGGAAGAACAGAGCTTGTCATATGAACCTCAAAGAGAATTTTAAAAGACGAAGTATTGACAAAGTAAATATTTCATATTGCATTTGTTAATTAGAACCATCTTTCATGCTATCCTCAAGGAGAATATATTTGGATTCAATGTGTTTATCCCTTTGAAAATTATAGAAATAACATGATCAGAATGGTCAACAGTATTTGGACAAGTAATTTAAAACCAAACTCAATTTGGAAATAACAAGCGCTATGAGTCATTACACCTTCAACCAACCACCTTCATGGCTGTGGATAAATAACAGCCTGTTTTTTTTTGACAAAAACTGCATTTTTGATGTTTTTTATAAAACAAAAGACTGGTAGCATGTTGTTCCAAAGAAAAAGAAAGAATGCTCAATCCAGGAAATATGCTTGTTAAAGGAAACGCAGGTAGAGAGGTTAACATTCAGACAAAAGGTTGAAATCTTGAACTCTTTTGCAAACATCATACAGAAATACGGCCTCCTCTGAGGTCCCTCTGAAATAACTAATAACTAAATAATAAAGTGTGCCATTTGTTTCTAAATGATAACCCTGAAAAAGCTCACTGTAGCAGTTCTGTTTGGCTGATCTTCAAAGTGAAAATAAATTAAAATATCTTGCTCCAAATCTTGTTGGAAAAAGTTGACTAGAGGTCAGACCTTGTATGTTTAGCTACTGGCTTGTCAAATAAAGCATACTATACAACACTCTTAAGCATTAGAGCAAATTAGCTCCTATAAAGGGCTGAATATCTTCACCAGTTAATCATTGTTTTATTGTAATTAAACTCCCAGAAAAAAGAAAAAAAAAGAAAACAAGAGACATATTATGTGCAATAAGGTGAGACTTGTAAAGTGAGTGCATGCCTTCATGACAGAGCATTTTTCAGGAATTTGTTAGCTCTCTTGTATTGTGAAATAGAAGGGCTGTTGACTATTGATGCCTAACTGCCACTGCTGGTCAAACCTGGAGCATTCGTTGCAATATATATCTAAATGTTTATAGTATTAATGTTAGAATACTTTTTCTGTTACAACTTAGTCTGTTGAAACTCATTAGACTTGGAACTCAGTTCAGGGTGACTAAAATATAAAGTCAAAAGGTCATGGATAATTTTTTTTTAGATCTTTTATTTACAGTCAGTGAAATATGAACCTATGGTTGTAATGGAGTTATAGCTGTTTGCAGTATAAAAACCTAGTTTTTCCCTTATTGGTTTAAAACAACTACTCTTATATCTCATGTTCTTGTTTTCCAATGTCTCTGGCCTTTTCATATTGGAAAAAAGGCCTATCTTACTTATACTTTTATGTAATTGGAAAACATTTTGTTCTCTCTTTTTTTCAGAAAACAGGCAGTTGACAACTAACAAAATAATTAGCTTAAATAACTTTCCACTCTAACCGTGCATTCACACCCAACGTGTTTCAGTGTCAAATGTGTCTGGTTTACTTATAGAGTCTATGTAAAGGAAATTCCTATGGTTCATTTTTAGCAATGAAGTTGGGAAATCAGAATTTTTGCAACTCAATAAAGCAACCAATCGGAGAAGCTGATTGATCACAGCTTAGATGAAGAGACAGGCTCTGCATCTAAGAGGTGATCTCTCCTCCCACAACGCTGTCAGTATAAGTTTATTAAAAGATGGATACATATGTAAGAGTAAACTCCACTGGGACCTGCCAGTTAGGAATTTGATTTATTTTCAGTTTTTACAATAAACCTATATAATCGCTATATATTCACTTTCCACCACTACGGACAACAGCAGGAAATCCCCGACACCCTGGCAGGTTATGGAAGCTCTCACTGGGGATTTCCAACCATATCACCCACCTGTATGCGGTGGTCTGCTGCTTGAAACAACAACAAAATATTTAAAAGTAGGATCATATTAACTGACTGTGAAGATCACATTTTGAGGTGTACTTTTTTTTGCTTGAAAACCGGTTTAAGCTACTTATGTCTGCCATTTTATACAAGAGACCAGCATAGGAAAAAAAATGGGATAGCTATTTCAGATGGATTTAGTAGAGAACCAATTAAGGGTTGGAAAAATGGGAGAAATATGATGGAGGTTTTTCATTTATTTTTTTTTTCGGAAATGTAGCACAAATAAATACTCGCAACTGTGGGCTGACTGAACTTTTAAATATCTTTATGTGAATCGAGTTTGGTAGGTATTGTATGCAAATATTTATTTTGACATCCCTATAAAACAAGGATGTCAAATAGTGGATGCCACTTTGTTATATATTTCAAACAACCTCTCACTGCTGCTGCTTTGGCTGAGTTCTCCTCTGCCTTGTGGCTTTTTTTCCTCACACGCTTTATGTTGGTCATGAAAAAGAAGCAAACAAACTGCTAGCTGCAAAACTGAAGACAGCCGAATAGGAGAAGCTCTTCAAATGTTTGGTTCCATTTAATTTGCTCTAATCTGATCTGCATTCTTCCCATTTCTGCTTCTCTGTTCGAACAGGGAACTCTTAGAATGATTCACGTGTCTGTTGACCAGGGTGAGAGCTGGAACATGGCTCAGCTGCCTCCTGTTGGTCATGAGCAGTTCTACTCCATACTGGCAGCAAACGACGATATGGTTTTCATGCACGTTGATGAGCCTGGAGGTCAGAGCACACAGTAACTCAGATGTTCACCTATCATTATAATGGCACATTGTCCTGTGGAAGTGATGCAACTGATGGCATGTTCATATCAGCTTTAACTTGCATCAGTAAATTATGTAGCTATTACTCGTTTTTTTGACACTTTTAGGACTTTAAAACTTTTATTCCTTATTGGGAACATTTTTGAATCCCGAAACTACACCTTGATTGATCCCAGTGATACTAAGGCTACGTTCACACTGCAGGCCTTAACGCTCAATTCCGATTTTTTTATTTGTGAAATCCGATTCTTTTGCGTGGTTGTTCACATTTCCAAATATATGCGACTTGTATGTGATCTGCATTCAGAAGAGGATGCAATGACATCACGAGAGAGCGTGCTCTGTGTTTACAGAAGCATGGATGGTAGTGCTGGAGCGCACGTAGCCGTCTTTCATTTCTTTCCCAACCTCAGCCAGTGCATTCACAATACAATCTTTTCAAGAGGGTTGAAAATGAGGACTGCTCTCCGCATTATCATCTGCCATTTTTGTTGTTTTTCTTCCTGCTTCTGCACAGCAAGAAGTGACCTTTGTTGAGTATTAATGACTTTCAGGTCAGATGAATGTGAGCTGGCCATTCAGACACAGGTGTCATTTGAAAAGATAGTATCGGATTCAGGACCACATAGCAAATGGCCTGGGTTGCATTGGAAAAAAATCAGATATGTGTTGTTCAGACTCTAATGAAAACATCAGCTACAGGTCGCATATGGGCAAAAAAATCAGATTTGGGTCCCTCTAGTCTGCTGTGTGAACTGCTTTATGAGTTGATGTCTTTTAAACATTCCTGCATATCAGTTTGTAGCGCCTAAATACCCATTTCAGATGTTAATAAAGACCAGTGTGATCTTTTTTTTTTTTCAGATACTGGTTTTGGTACAATTTATGTTTCGGATGATCGAGGAACAGTTTACTCCAAGTCGCTGGAGCGTCACCTTTATACAGCTACAGGAGGTGACACTGACTTCACCAACGTCACTTCACTGCGAGGAGTCTTTATCACCAGCATCTTGGCAGAAGGTACCTTTTATCCCATACGATGTGCAGCATACCTCAAACATCTTAAATTAGTTCACGCATTATCTCTAGACAATTTAATTTCAGGACTTTTCCTATGCTTTTATGTAATATTACAACACAAAATAGAGTATAGTTGTGAAGTGCTTTTGCTAGTAAAAAAAACAAACCCGAGGCGTGTGCTTGTAAACTTAGTGAATTTGGAAAACCAACTATTTCTCCAATTGAGCTACAAGCCGTTTGGACTATTTCTCAACCACTACATCAGGAAATAACAGTATTTCCTCACAACTCTTCCTCACTTTGTTGATTGGGTTACTAGTTCTCTGCATACTGCTCTACATAAAGTAGCCCATTTGAAATAGAAAAATATCTCCTTAATTTATTGCAGAGCTGCAGACTTCTAAACTGAAGGCTAGGAAACGAGAGAAAATGGCGCTCTACATGCCTACAGGAATCCTACCTAGTCTGGAAAAACAGTTTACTGCTTTAGTTGATGACCCTTTGTAAAGCAATAGCAGCATATTTTCCTCTTTAACAGAGGAGAATAAGAAAAATCCTAGATATCTTTTTAATAAAGTTGCCAAACTCACCCAGAGCCATAGCTCTGTTGAACCATCCATTGATTATATTAAACATAAAATCATTAGCACACCTTTAAATATAACTGGTTTATCTCTGGAAGGTGAGGCAGAATCTGAGGTAACCATAGAATCTTTTCTTTATTTGGACTGTTTAAGAAACCGTCTCTTGACCCAGATGACTTGGTAAATTATATACCTATATCCAATCTTCCTTTCTTATTCAAAACAAAAAAAAGTTGCTAAACAACTGTGTGACCACTTACACCCAGAGATGGCAAAAGTACTCACTTTCCGTACTTAAGTAAAAGTACAGATACTTGTGTTAAAAAATACTCTGGTAAAAGTGGAAGTACTGATTAAACTTCTTTACTCAAGTAAAAGTAACAAAGTACAGGCTTGTAAATTTACTTAAAGTATAAAAGTAAAAGTAGAAACCTCTTTTTTTCATGCCATTGCCTACATTTTAAATGGATGTCTGCCAATAGGACTAGATCTCCGTTGTGTTCATTTTCAATCATCTCGTCGTCCATGCTACTATGCTAACGCCACCCTCCACCGAGCTGCAATGATTTGCCGCGAATGAATACCGCCGAATCTGTCGATTCATCTTGTAGTGGTGCGTCAAATGCAAAGTAGATTCCCATCCAATTAGATTGAATTTGGTATTGATGACGTGAAAAATAATAACGGTAACTCCATTGAAATGATTCAAAACTAAAGTAACGAGCCAATTTTTTTAAATTAGAGTAGAAAGTACAGATATTTGTGTAAAAATGTAAGGAGTAGAAGTAAAAAGTCGCCATAAAAATAAGTAGTAAAGTAAAAATATCAGAAAAATCTACTTGAGTACAGTAACGATGTATTTGTACTTCGTTACTTCCCATCGTTTCAGTTTGACTTTAGATTTCATCATAGCACCGAAATGGCTCTGGTGGAAATTGCTAATGATATTCCCATGGCCTCAGATAATGGACTTGTATCTGTACTTGTCGTGTTAGATCTCAGAGCTGCATTTGAGCAAGTTGATCATAATGTTCTTTTAGATAGACTTGAATATTATAACAGCACAAGACTAGTTTAAATCATATCTACCTTACCTTTTGTTTTCACCTCACCAGCATTCCCGTGGGTTTCTTCACTGCTTCTCTATTGCTCTCCTTGCCAGGGGCGGGGGGGCATTTCTTTCACTGCATTTGGGCATTTTTCGTTTTGGGCTTTAACAAAATAATTGGTACTGGCCTTAAATACTTTAGCCAAATTGTGTTCCAGCCCTCAGATTCTCCTTAGTAAAACAGTCACAGATATTTCACAGATATTTCTTCCTCGTTACGCACCCATAAAAAGTGTTTGCAGTAAATATTTAATTAGACATTCAGTGTTAGATGTGTTTTTCAGGCTGAAGCTAAAAAAAAAAAAGAAAAAAAAAACCTCATCACTACTTTTGCGCTTTGTTGATCAGTCTGTTAATGTGTTAAATTAGCTAAAACAAGCCAAGTCCCTTTTTACCCAGCGTTTCTAGTTTGTTCCTTGGCTTCCTATAAATACGTTCTCCTTGTGTTTGTGTTTCCAGATAACTCTGTGCAGTCTGTAGTGTCCTTTGATCAGGGAGGAGAGTGGCTTCCCCTGCGGAAACCTGTCAACAGCAAGTGTGATGCTACGTCTAAGGACCCAGACAAGGTACACTTTCTCAAAGTATTGCTGTAATTATGTAAAAAAACAAAACAAAAAACATAGTTTTATTGTTATTTTATTTTTTATTTTTTTTTGCATATCTCCTCATCAATGTATCATCGTGATATTTGCAGAAAACAAATAATGAAATGAGTTTGTGTTGCTTTTGTAATCTACAGTGCAGCCTCCACATCCATGCAGCTTACAGCACTGCTATGAAGCTGAGCGTCCCCATGCTGCCTCTGACAGAACCAAACGCTGTGGGTCTAATCATAGCTCATGGTAAAAATCATGCTGAAATTACATTGTAGAAATGTTTTTTTTTTTATCTTTTTAAACAATTGCTTTTCAACCTCTGAGCATTTTCCTGCAGGCAGTGTCGGGGATGCCATCTCTGTGTTGAAGTCTGATGTGTATGTGTCTGATGATGGTGGCTACACCTGGATAAAGGCTCTTGAGGGGCCCCATCACTATGCTATGCTGGACTCAGGAGGGCTGCTGGTAGCTGTGGAGGACAACGGCGAACCCATCAACAAGATTAAGTGAGTAACTCAGTTAGAATAAATGTAAAACCTTAGCTGATAATTTGCTTCTCTAGCTTTTTGAGATTGCTATGAAAGTATAAATTGGGCAATCTCTGTCTGCAGGATTTAAACTATCCTTGTCCTAAACAGACTTATAATTATGCAATTTTCTGAAAATGCAAATGTGAAACCAATGCATCTACGCATTTGATCTGAAACCTGTGCAATTTATTCAGATTTCTTTTTTATTTACTACTCTTTATCCTACCTTACAGATTTTCCACTGATGAAGGACAGTGCTGGAATGTTTATAACTTCACAGAGGAGCCAATCTCATTCACGGGGCTGGCATCAGAGCCGGGAGCTCGTTCCATGAATGTCAGCATCTGGGGCTACAGGGAGAACTTCATCAGCCAGTACTGGGTCTCCTTCACTATCGACTTCAGGGAACTCCTCACTAGAAGCTGTAAGTTATTCATTTTAAAACAAAATTCCTAATGAGACTTCATTATGTTTTCAATGATTTTCTTAAACTTTACTGATGTTTCTAGGTGACGATAACGATTATGTGGAATGGTTGGCCCACTCTGATGACATCAGTGACCCCAACGATGGCTGCATGCTGGGTTATAAAGAGAAATTCCTGCGGCTCAGAAAGGACTCTGTTTGCTTGAATGGACGAGATTATATTTTGAACACACAGCCGACTCCATGTCCATGCACCCTGGATGACTTCTTGTGGTGAGATACAGAGCAGATGTTTATTTATTTTTTTTCTAAACCCAGAATATCCCTTGCTTATCAATTTAGAGATGTTCTTAGGCTACGTTCACACTGCAGGCCTTAATGCTCAATTCCGATTTTTTTGTGAAATCGGATTTTTTTGCGTGTCCGTTCACACTTCCAAGTATATGCGACTTGTATGATTGATCTACTGTGTGAACTGAAAGCGTTCAACCGAAGTGTCCCGCCTGCGCATTCGAGGACGCGATGACGTCGCATGTAGCAAGCGTCCTCAGTGTTTGCGGAAGTAAACATGACTCGTAATACCGCAGCGTATATTGCGTTCTTTAAGTTCTTCTCCAACAGGAGCAGGCACATTACGAACGAAATCTTTTTAAGAAGATCAAAAAGAAAGAGAGCCATGTTCCGGTAAGACCTTTCGAGTTTGATCTGAATCGAGCTATCTTTCCAAATATGAATTAAGTCAGCAACCTCACTTTCTCTCCATTGACTGCTCTCTGTGTTATCTTCCGCCATGGTTGTTAGTTTTTCCCACCTCCGCTTAGTAGGACGCAGATTAGTAACGTTTAGTAACATTTGTCAAGTATCAATGACGTGTAGGTCGGATGAATGCGACCTGGCCGTACAGACACAGGTCGCATTTGAAAAGATCAGATACGTATCGGATTCAGGACCACATATCCAAGTGGCCTGGGTCGCATTTGAAAAAATCCGATCTGTGTCGTTCAGACTGTCATAAAAAGATCTGATACAGGTCACATATTGGCAAAAAAATCGGAATTGGGTCACTTCAGGCTGCAGTGTGAACGTAGCCTTAGTGATCCTGGGATTTTTCACAGATTTTTACATTACAATCACCAACTTAAACATATTTAAAAGGGTTATAATGCATAAAATAGTTTATCACTGTGAAGAGAAAAAAACTATGCATAATTATCAAAACCCTTTACAAATAAAAACCTGAAAAGGCTGCTGTGCATTTGCATCCAGCCTTCACTCTAGAATAAATCTGCTTTAACCAACAGATTTAGAATTTTAACTTATCAGTAAAATACTCAACCTGTGTCTTAATGAAGATCAATATTAACAGCTGTTTTATTAAGGCCTCATACGTTTTTAAGAGACTAATTAAAGAACAACAACCATCATGAAGATCAAGAATGTCTGCAGACACATCAGAGATGACGCTGTTGAAAAGTTTTAAGCAGAGTTAGGTTGGAAACCGAGGGGACTGTAGCTGAACTTCAAACCTACCAAGATGTGACCAACTCAAAGGCCAGGATACAATTAATCAGAAAAGCATTCAAGAACTGTTCTGGGTGCTAATGCTATTTCGAGGAGCTTTAGCAGCAGTACAGTCATCATGAAAATCAGATTTATTGTCCCCACACCAAACGGATATTAGAACCTGAGCTTACCGTAAATGTCCGACAAACCCATTTATATAGGGACAGATGAAACCAAACATTATCCGCCACATATCTGACTCAATAAACCAACTATTTTCATTCATTTCAGACGGAACTATTCACATACTTGTGTTCGATTAAATTGCACTTGCAGTATTCACTACTGTTCGGTGCCAAGTACCTTTTTCCTCTCAGCACGGAGCAGCTGGCTTGTTTTGACTCGCAATGAGTCATGGGATACCCAAGGCTATGTAGGATACACTGGACCTGTCCTTGAAAACGGGCAAAAAGAAAGCTGCATTTGTCGGCCGTATAACGAGGATTCTTCCAATTTGAACAGGCCTCGGCGCCGCTATAATAATAATTATTATTATTATTTAATTATTAATTATTAAACAGCGCCTTTCTGGACACTCGAGGTCACTTTACAGAAAATACAAAAAATAAATAAAAAGAAAAATGAAAATACAAATACAGGAACATAAAAACAATTATGGATAGGGAAAAGAGCAGTGTATTAACAGATAAGCGAGCTGGAACAGATGGGTTTTGAGTCTGGCTTTGAACAAGACGAGAGAGTCAATACTGCGGAGGTCAGGAGGAAGTGAGTTCCAGAGCTGGGGAGCAGAGCGGCTGAAGGCTCACCCCATGGTGACAAGTCGAGCTGGGGGTACAGTGAGGTGGATGGAGGAGGAGGATCTAAGGGAGCGGGAGGAGGTGGTAATGTGAAGAAGGTCTGACAGATATGGAGGAGCAAGGTTATGGATGGCTTTGAAAGTAAAGGGAAGAATTTTAAATTGAATTCTTAATTGAACTGGGAGCCAATGGAGTTGGTGAAGGACAGGGGAAGTATAATGGCGTAATCAGCCGACGACTCTGGCCTTCGGAGGACGTATCCGCCGAATTTGAACTCTGTATCACCCTTAGAGCATCATCTCCATGGTTATCCTTGATGAGGCTTTTGGAAAGCTCTTTTCAAACAAAGAGAGGGAAGCTGGTTTAAGTTCAATATAAATGTTTTTCAGATTTCTTTTTTTGAAAAAACTTAAAAAAAAAAAGACAAACTGAGTGACTGTTTTATTTTTTCACTTCAAAACCTGGTGTGGAAAAGGTAAAAACTCTATGAATACTGAGAGTGTTTAAAGTCATCCTGGTTTTGTGTGACATTTTGCAGTGACTTTGGATACCAGCGTAAAGAGAACAGCTCTGAGTGTGTGGAGCAGCCTGACCTGCAGGGCAAAGTGTTGGAGTTCTGTCTGCACGGCAAAGAGGAGCAACTGCAGACCAGTGGGTGAGGTTTCAGACTGAGTCAAAACTTGGCTTGAAATAGAGTTTGGTTCGTCACTTTCCATTTATTGAGAATAACACTCTACTCTGTATCCATATTCATTAGCAGTACCTGTTAGCTCTCTAGAACTTGATTCAAATTTTCATCAGGTTAGCGTATAATTCTGAAAATATGTAAGCAGGCATATTGCTTAGGTTTTAGGTACTGTGTGAATTTGGCAGAAATCATGCTGTTTGCTAGGAAGAAAATTGTATATTGTAGTTGAAGTGGCAAACTTAGAAGAAGGAAGTTACTCTCATGTAGAAAGAGGAGAGAGGAAGCTTATCAGGGTGACAATGAAACTTGTGGGTAGGAGGAATGTTGCCTAGAACTAAACTTTAGGCTTAACCTTTAATTTAACTTAGCTGAGAGTACATTTTAAATGGTATAAGGGTTTAAAAGGGTTATAACTATATAATTGGGAAGGCTGTTGCATCACTGAAGACAGGTTTTTCTAAACTTTATCATTATAAATTGTTTTAAAAATGCATATTGTATGGATTCCATTATGTTTTATTTCTAAGACTATTAAATAAGTTATAACGGTTAGACGTCTTATAATGCAACTCAAATATGTTCTTTGTTGTTGCCAATTAAATAATAAAATAAAATAAAAAATATTAGCTATTTCTTTCCTTTTTCTTTTCTTTGATCTTTGACCATTTATAACAAATGTTCTTTTCGGGGATTATAATATAATCTGTTTTGGCCCAAAGGTACAGGAAAATTCCCGGAGATAAATGTGAGGGAGGAGAGATGCCTAAGCGTAAAGAGATTGACCTCAGTAAGAGGTGTGTCAGTGATCTGGTATCTCCGGAGCTACAGGTAAGCAAGCAAAGATTTTCCTGATTTATTGATATGTTGGTAATCTGTTTCTGAGCTTGTAGTTCCCACCTTTTTATCTGCTTCTACTTTCTACAGACAGATGGTCATTCCTCCAAGTCAGTGCCCATTGTGTTAGCAGTCATCGTTGTCCTAGTGCTGAGCATCGCAGCGGGCGTGGTCTTTGTAAGGAAATACGTCTGCGGCGGAAGGTTGGCTAATATCAGTTCGTATTACATTTCCAAACATTCTGAATCGTGTTTTTTTTTTTTGGGTGTCCTGACAATGTCCTGAATGTGTCCCGCAGGTTTGTAGTGCACAGGTATTCTGTGCTGCAGCAGCACGTGGAGGAAAATGCAGCAGATGGGATGGATGAGCCACTAGAAACCAACCATGCTCCTAATGGCAAAATAGAATTCCATGATGACTCTGATGAGGTAGGTTTGAAAAACTGCTTTTCCTAAACCAAACTCACACAAACGTCCAAATAGGCTCAGAGTTTTCAGCCATAAACACTAAATATAAGCTGAGTATAAAGTATCCTCTGTTCTCTGATTGTAAGGAATTATAAATATAAGGCATAACATAGATATAAGTAAGTTGAGTGCATGCAGGTTTTTATAATAAAATGGCAAAAAAGTCCAAGCTTTAGACCTTAAATGAAAGGATTTTATAAGATATATTGTAGACTTATTGGCATCCATAACAAAAAGCCTTTTAAATAGATTGATTTCTGTAGCATAATGAAGAGGAAAAAAATATGCATTTATTTTTATACACGTATTGAGTAAGAAAGAAATATTCACATGCAATAATTTTTTGTATTTTGTTTTTTTTTAATAACTGGTGCCTTAACTTTGTTTTTTCTTTGGGGTTTAATTTTTTTTTTTTTTGACCATCTAGAAACTTTGAGTGAGAAATCAACATGTTCCTTAAATTTTGTAACACGAGGATCTGTTTCTGTTGACCATAATCTTTTAGGATTGAAAAAGGCTTTGTATCCAACCTTGAAAAGTGTAAAGGTGTTAAGGCTACTGAAACTCGCCTATGTAACTTTAGAGGGTCACGTCATTCTCTGAATGAGTCATGTGACTCATGGTGCCACTTTCTGATGGTTTGACCTCACCTTAAACATTAGAGTGAATGCTGAAAGTTGTAAAAATTGGTGAGCAACAAAATGCATATAACATTTACCTAATTAGAATTATTTTTGGTTCTCTGATGTAGGATTTAATCTAGAGGGGGTGATTGTGGCCTGGTTTTAGTAGACAGCTCTAATACTTCTCAATCTGCTGGAGCAAAGTGGTCAGTCTGTTTTCTTTTGTGACAGTGCAGTGCCCTCAGTTGTTTTAAGAGCCTCTTAACCTGGAGTTTACAGATCCAGCTCCCCTAGTGGCTAAAAGTTATCCAGCACTGGTTTTTGCACTGGATTTTAGCTGCACCCTATAAGATATTCTGTCCACAAATGCAAACACATTGTTTTTTCCTTCATATCAAAGTTTTATAACTGTAGGATAAACAGACACTTCTATAGTAAAGTGATCTCAGTTGCATCTCTGGAGCTACTGATTATCCTGGCCGGGTTTCAAAGACCAGCTCTCTGTTCAGGCTGGGGAAGGACTTGACTTGTTATATTATGAGTAAACATGTAACTTGAAACCAGCATCGCCTCAACTAGATTCAACCTTAAAGCAATGAAATACGACACTAACCTGCATATCTGACACCTAAGGTAGTTGTAATTACAGTATGATGGAATTTTAAAGTTTAGACCAATTGAGGTCACTTGGATAATGGGGTTAGTTTTGTAAAGAGATGTATTCATTTACCCATGGTGGTTTTGTCTTCAGTGGTATGCTGTCTTCTGTTTGTGCAGGATCTGCTTGAATAGCAGGGACCACCTGTTAAACAAGCGGGTAACTGGTTGGCCTGCAGCCAGCCGTTGTTCCCATCACTCTCCTCTCCAGTTATTTCCTCCTCTCACCCTCTGATGTAAACTTCAGCCTCAGCGACAGAAACTCTGCTGTCATCGGCGAAGTCAAATGAATGTAAGGAGGCTTCCTGAGACTTAAAGCCACTGTTGGAGAGAACCATGAAGGAGGTCTTGACATGTTTAAGGTATCTGTTCTGTTGAGTACGTTTTAATTTTTAAGTTATTTATTTCATGAGGAAACAGCTGAACATGCTGACAGAGATTGATAAATTAATCAACTGTATGAAGGCATCTCTGCTTTACGGGTTCTATCTTTTTCCATCTTTTGGCAGAGCTCCTGAAAAGGTCTTTTTTTTAACCTCCTAAGGATTTGTGTTTGTTTTCTTCATGCACTTGTCAATAAGTACTTTTTCTTTATTAGTCTTTAATCAAATATCGTTTTGGTGAGAGCTGAAAAGCCACAGCTGGCATCCGGTTAATATTAGGTCCTACAGACAGACTAAGTCTTAATGGGTTTTTTATGGAAGTATTTATACTTCCACGTTCCTGATAACTTAATTTTTTGCTTATTAATAAACTCTTTTACTTCTTTCTATCTCGTTGGAGGTACAATTCTGCAGCTCTTTGCATTGTGTAAAAGTAAGAAGGGATGCACCAATCAGGTTTTTTCTACCCTTGGGTTCTGATCTTCCGATTTTGACTGACCATTTTCCCATAGTAATTAATTAATTAATTCAATAAAATGTAATTAATTATGTTAATTTTAAACTGCTGGTGGTTTTTAGTTCAAAAGAAATGAAGAAATTACAAGATTATCCACTAATAAATTTTTCTTCTGGGTTAAAACTTTAGACTAATGAATTAATTCACCTTCCTTTATGGGAATTCTATTTTTTGATATATGTTAAAGTGAAATAATAATATAATACTGATAACAATTCAGTTTTTTACTATTTGAATCACAAAGCAGAACCAGTCGTTGGAAAATTGTCCCGATTTAAATTTCCGATCGATTGATTGGTGCATCTCTTGCAATAAGGCATCTCTATGAGGTTTAGAGCAATAACCTGTGAAGATTTTGTAAAAATTTAACATATTGTCTGTGCATGACAGTTATTCTTCTCTGCACATCTCTTAGAGTTGTTAGTTGTCTTGTTAATCCAAACAATAGAAGCTTAGAAAGATGTGTTTAAAACTCTGAATGCAGTTTTAACCACTAAAAGCACAAAAGTCCCCTTAGAAGTTCAGCATTTGTCGCTGAATATTTTTCCAAAATAAAACCTATTTTAACAGTAGTGATCACCTTAACCTTGTGTGCTCCACGTTTGTGAAAATCTGAGCAGTTTTATACTACAATTTACAAAATATGTGACATATCTTTTGCAATAACTAGGAAACCAAAAGTATAGGAAAATTGGTGAAGGATAAATAAAGCAAAAAAAGGTTCTAAATTATATAAATGTTGTAAAAAAATAAAAATAAAACCGTGTTGGAAGTTGAATAAGCTGCAGCATGTTTGTTTCTGGTTGTGGTTCACTCTGACTTCTGTTTTTTTTCTGTAACCATGGTAACCATGTCATATATTTTTCTTAAAAACATTTTTTTGTTGCAGTTTTTTAAATTTTATAGGTTTACTTTATTTATCCAGCTGGTGCAGATTGCAGTAAATTACTGTAGGTGTCGTTAAACAAGTGCCTGGTGTGAGAATTTGACCGATTTCCATCATATTGTTAGTTTGAACAGTAATGGCAGCAACAATCACAAACTGGACATATTCCAATTGCAAGTCAAATTAGAGGAGTGTTTGAATTAGTTTCCTTAACAAATATCTGAAAAAAATATGTAAAAGAAATGTAATAAATTCAGTTCAGGCTCAGACGGTTTGGCACATTTAGCACAAAATAAGGTGGTCTTATGTAAAGGTTCTTATGTAGCTGCATTGCATTGGAAGACAGTCTTTTAAATGGAGCTTTAAGAATTTTGTTGAAAACATGTTTTCCTTACATTTTTAAACTGCTGTACTGATTTCAAAAGAGTCATTGTGTTGTGTAAATATTCAGGTTTAAACATTTGTAACTACTGTTTCCCTTTTCTGTATATTTCTTTGGGTTTGGAAATAAAGTAATGTTCCTCTTTTTTTGTGTTCACCTGTTATTTCATATGAACACCAATTTTATTTTTGTGTGTGTTTATTAAGGGTTTAGAATCTTAAGATACTTGATTTAAAGTGTTGTATTTCTAAGGTCCTAAATGTGCCTTTTGATCCAAAGATTGAGACTCTAGCTGCGAGTCTCCTTTTTCCTTGATGGGCCCTTGGCTGGTCTTGGCTAGTCCCCTACAATTACTTTATGAACATCTAAAATATTATTTGTCATGATTCTGTAAGATCTAAAGGTCCTGGTCAGACACTGTAATTTAGTGAAAGGGTGGAGTCAGAGTAAAAAAATATGCACATCCATGAGAAGGCCAGTGGCTGGAAGTTGGAGGGGAATATGCTGCCTTTGGGTTTTGACTGGGAAGGGTCATTTTGAATAACTGCTGCTGTAAATGCTTGTGAGAGTGTGCACAAGCCCATTTCTCCTCGTGCATGCTCTGTTTACTAGTTGCTGTTTGCATCACTCATGCAAGTTTACTTGCTGAAAGAAGATTTGCCATTTTTCTATTATAACAGACTCACGAACGGTAAGTTAAAGCTGAAGTCTGTAAGTTTTTAAAAATCACTTTTTTGTCATATTGGCTAAAACTGTCCCTATGCCCAGCAGCAGTACATGTGATATGTAACCTGTGAAAAAAAACTGCTTCAATTGGTACCGCCTACTGCCTGTATTTCAATCTGGAAAGAATAATTCGGGACAAGTCAAAACAACCAATCACAGCCAGAGGAGCGTCTGATGGAGTGTCAATCACAGCTCACACACGCTGAATCCCCCCCCCCCCCCCCCCCCCCCTTCTGGTCGCATGCGGTAGCCGCGCAGATGCTGTGAGAGGGGTGGAGCTTGGAGGTGGGGCATAAGTGAAGCAGAGAGGGTGGGGGAGTGGCGTGGAACCTGTTTTTCTTCAAATTTTCAGTCGAAGTCTGCTCTCTTCTCAATGTTACAGACTGCAGCTTTAAAACGTAATGTAAACATATCACCAGAATGATTTACAATTAGGAGGACCATTTATATAGATGATCCACCCAGAAAATAAAAGGAACATCCTATACCTTTAACAATCTTTATTCTGATACCCTTAATTTGAAAGTTTACCATATGGTGTATATAAAGGACAAAAAAAAAAATGCAGCTTCTCTTTTGAGATGAAATTTTAACTCTTTTATCACATATTAAACACTGAGCAGGGGAGGGGAGGTGGTTGTGCAGAGACCCATTTATCGAGGATTTTGTCCTTAATATAGTAGTCACTGATTCTGTAAGAATCTTTATTTCAGCATGGACGGGACAGAGAAGCAGATCAGAGTTGATGAATGGCGCCAAATACAGGAAAATCCTGGGTGCCCAAAGTTGGCAGAGGCATACAGGTCCTTCTCAAAATATTAGCATATTCTGATAAAGCTCATTATTTTCCATAATGTAATGATAAAACATGAACATTAATATATTTTAGATTCATTGCACACTAACTGAAATATTTCAGGTCTTTTATTGTCTTGATACGGATGATTTAGGCATACAGCTCATGAAAACTCAAAATTCCTATCTCACAAAATCGGTATATTTCATCCGATTAATAAAAGAAAAGTGTTCTTAATACAAAAAAGTCAACCTTCAAATAATAATGTACAGTTATGCACTAAATACTTGGTCAGGAATCCTTTTGCGGAAATCACTGCTTCATCTTTATCTACATAAAGCTTTTCAGCAAATGGAAGCATTTAGTGCTCCAAAATCTCCTGATAGCTAGCTGCATTGACCCTGCCCTTGATAAAACACAGTGGACCAAAACCAGCAGCTGACATGGCACCCCAGACCATCACTGACTGTGGGTGCTTGGCACTGGACTTCTGGCATTTTGGCATTTCTTTCTGCGCAGTCTTCATCCAGACTCTGACACCTTGATTTCCACCTTGACATGCAAAATTTGCTTTCATCTGAAAAAAGTACTTTGGACCACTGAGGAACAGTCCAGTGTTGCTTCTATGTAGCCCAGGTCAGGCGCCTCTGCTGATGTTTCTGGTTCAAAAGTGGCTTGACCTGGGAAATGTGGCACCTGTAGCCCATTTCCTGCATACGCCTGTGCATGGTGGCTCTGGATGTTTCTACCAGAGTCAGCCCACTGCTTCCGCAGGTCCCCCAAGGTCTGGAATCGGCCCTTCTCCACAATCTTCCTCAGGGTCCGGTCACCTCTTCTCGTTGTGCAGCATTTTCTGCCACACTTTTTCCTTCCCACTGAGGTGCCTTGATACAGCACTCTAGGAACAGCCTATTTGTTCAGAAATAGCTTTCTGTGTCATTCCCTCTTTCTTGAGGGTGTTAATGATGGCCTTCTGCACAGCAGTCAGGTCGGTGGTCTTACCCATGATTGGGGTTTTGAGTGATGAACCAGGCTGGGAGTTTTAAAGGCCTCAGGAATCTTTTGCAGGTGTTTAAAGTTAATTTGTTGATTCAGATGATTAGGTGTATAGCTCGTTTAGAGACGTTTTTTCATGATATGCTAATTTTGTGAGATAGGAATTTGGAGTTTTCATGAGCTGTATGCCAAAATCATCCGTATTAAGACAATAAAAGAACTGAAATATTTCAGTCAGTGTGCAATGAATCTAAAATATATGATTATTTGAGTTTTATCATTACATTATGGAAAATAATGAACTTTATCACAATATGCTAATATATTTTGAGGACCTGTACTGGTTAGACTGGAACTAGAATAATGCATGCAGGCTGAATGCCAATGTATGTTCTTAGACTTTATTTGAAAGAACAATTTTTGAAAACTTTTCCTCAGCTTCACAATTACTCTAGTTTGTGGTTTTCAAATCAAGGCATGTCATTGTTCGACAAAATATGGAGATTTTCTAAGGGGTAAAAATGCATTTGCAAGGCACTGTAATTTTTTTATTTTTGCAATGATGTGTCGATAGCGGTATAGACTAAAGATTAGTTTTGATAAACTGTATAGGAGTAAAGCTTGGGAATGTATGTTACTGCATAATGAGATTTAA